AGGACGTTTCTCCTTCCTCCGGTGTGTTTGCATCGCTTCTCGAGGAGCGCAGCGTCCCGTCACGACATCGGACTGACCACAGTCGATAGCATGTGTAGACAGGCGGAGAAACAAGGTCAGACATGGGTGTGACTGTCCTGCTGACTGCAACAGACAGTTACGAGCAACTTCAGGAGAGTGTGTGCGCATGCACACAAACACACACCCGTAGAAATAAACTGACTCATGATTTTATCTAACCATTGGGTTTAATTACATTACTTATTCATTAAGCTGGGTGATTTTTTTCCAGCTCTGTGGGGTTTTTTTTTGTTACTTGAGGAGCGCCGTGGCTTGTGAAGGGAACACCTGTAGTACAGCTCCGCGAGGCAAGCCTCGGGTACTGAACTGAGCCCGCGTGAGCTCAAACAATGTCTGACGCACGCACGCACGCACACGCCGAAGCACGCGCGGAGTCAAATATTCTCCGTAAGTCTCCTTCAAGGACGCCTGGGGAAGACTTGGAGGACAAAATCACACACTCCCTCTCCCGGCGTCTCAGACGTGCTGCTACTTCTATTGTAGGCAGAAAGCCTCCTCCAAAGAGACTATAGTCACACACACTTACCCGCACTTAAATACACAAACAAGAAAAAAAAAAGGCCCTGCCACCTTTCCGTCAGAGTGAGAAAAGTGAGGCGTTTCTGCTTGTGTTTGTTTGTCTCGTTCTCGCTCACTCCTTGCTCTCAAACATCGCGGGGTTTATTCAGTGTGCGCGTGCGTGTGGAAGTGTGTGTAAAAGTAAAGGGGGGCTCACTGGGATTCTTTGACAACCTCATTCACTTCCTTCTTACCCCCAGCTCCACCCCCCAGTCTGTGGCAATGGCTCACAATGGGGCTGAAGGGGTGGAAATCGGACCCCAAAAAAAAAAAAAAAACAGTCACTGTGTCTTCATTTGCCTCCACTTTTCACACATCGTTTCCCTTTTTGTCGCTGGCTGCCAGTTCACCACCGCGCTACAAGCACTCCGGCCAGTTTCCGCTGGCAAGACTTTTCCTCCTCCCCTCATTCCCTCCTTTCCACAATGTTAAGCCCATTTTTAGCTTGACATAATCTGAAATGCTACTTAAGTGAATTTATGTCTACCTCAGTGCATTAACTTCTGCTATTTCTTCCTTTATGTTGCTGGGGCTTTTTTTTTGTGTGGTGTGTATAGCGAGTGTAGCGTCACAGGGAGCAAAGAGGGAGGGAGAGATTTGAAACTCAGACCACGAAGTAGACAGCCTATCAGTATTCAGCAGAGAAAGTGAGTGATGGAGGGAGAGAGAGACGGAGACAGGAGAGAGAAAGGAGGAGGGGGGTGATGTATCAATATTCTGAGTAGTGTTTGAGGGCAAGGGGAACGAATAGAGGAGAGGGGGGATGGATGGATGGAGGGAGGGAGAGAGAGAGTACTTGAATGTGTCTCTGAGTGTGATTATTTGTTCACGTATAAGCCAGCATGTGTGTGCATCCTTGATCTCGTCCATGCGTTACATTTCGTACTTTTGGCTGTGGAAAATACCAAAGCGCATTTATTTAGGTTCATGCACAACCGGAAGCGCCTTTCAAACCAATTTAAAGCGGGACGTGCTGCAGCTCCTGAAGGGTCTCCAGCAGAAGTCGTTTCATCTTAAAAAAGCTGCGCCATAAATTGAATCACCTCGTTAACAGGAGTGAAACTGTTTTGTTGTTTCCGGAAGCCAGAGATACCTAAAAGGAAAACTCAGTTTTGCTCACGTTTCACCATAGACTGATGGTCTGTTCTGTTTTTTTTTTCTTTTTAATCTAGTTCTTTTTCCATTATAAATCTGTTTGACTGCAGATTATTTTTCTAAATCTTCAAATTCAGCATTAAACCAGTAGAAAGCGACTTGCTGGATTATGTGCCTGAATGGCAGGTGCAGGCCCTCTCAGTGAGAGCCTCTCAATTGCAATCCCTCTGGTGGCTGGTGGACAAAATGCACATTCAGTCATTTTACTGGTGTCAGAGAGTGAAGGAAAATGTCATCTTGTACGCGATGTAGCAGATATCTACTATTACTGTCTATTAAAACAGATGAATTAAAAGACAAAAAACATGAGACAAAAATAAAGTGCTTTTTTTTTTCTACAAGACAAACAATTCCGATTCTCAGCTGCATGCAACCTGTATTGGAAAGCAATCAAAGAAAATGCTTTTTTGTTTAAAAAAAAAGGTAAAGTATTAAGAATTAAAAGACAATAATTTCTATACATCTCACAAGTATCCAAACTAATTAATCTAATTCAGACTTTTATGACCCCTTTAAATCGTAGAAAAGGGATTAAACCCCAAACTCTAGAGTTTTTCTCTGGAAAGATTATTCACAATAATTTTGCTATCAGAAACACACAAATCATCAACCAAATAAAAACCATAAGCTGAACAGTTTTTACGTCTTACCTAATTGAAATATAAGTCTTACTAAAAAAAAAAAAACATATAAAATATATATGTATGTGGATGTGCTTCAGTTTAATCAATGGATATCAGAACATCTTCTCTGTAGATTAGCAGGGCAGTGCTGTTCTTGCTTCAAATTTCACAAAAAAAGGATTCTCTTTGACCATGAAAATGTTATTGAATGCCCTTGGTTTACGTCTTACATGAGAAAACATCAAAATGTGAAACTGCACGTCTACTGAGCTTATCATGCAATCTCAGTCCAACTGTTTTAAGCAGCGTGATGGGAAGCTGTGTTGAGATGCCGTTCTGAAAGGTGGCGTGTCGGAAAGAGTAGGAGTCATTTAACACCAGCACCAAGGCCTTAAATTACAAAGTCTAATTTCTTTGAAGTCACGTTAAATGTTCAGCATTTTTATTGCAACTGCAGGTAACATAGATACTTGATTGTGCTATGAAGTGGCACTGTGTGAAAATACATAAACAATTTGTTTGCTGCATTGCTTTCCGTAACATTTGGTCACTAGAAACTTTTCTAGCTGTGTAACCATAAGACTGAGATCCGTTTTGGCAAAAGAGATCCCGAATCCTATTTGAACGTAATGAATAATTCATCTATTTTAAGCACTGATCATAAGTTTTTTTTTTTTTTTTCTACTTGTTAAAGTTGATTACTTTTTGAACGTTTCTGTTAAACTTTCACTGCACTTGGCAATGGTGTGCTCTGCAGGCTGTGCAGACACGACATTTTCTAATTTCTAATTTCTGGTAACCTACGTTAGTTCAGCTCTGAACAGTGTTCTTGTCTGACCGCATGAATATCCATTTTGGCCACAGTCCCCCGTCTGGGCATGATTGGCTGGTCGCAGACTTTGCGGACACAGATTGCTCAGAGCTATGGGCATTAATGTGATTGGCAGTGGAGGAGCACGGTGAATTACAAACAGCAGAACCAATCAACAGCAGTTAAAAAGTTGGGCACATAATGAAACTGTTTGACAGGGATGCTACCTTTTTGTCCCTGAAGATGGCACGTAACAAAATTACTTAGATTTTCAACATAAGGGTTTAATACTAAAACGAAATATACAGAGACCTGCAAAATTCCTATTGGACATTTCCACAGTGATTAGCCGTAAACTCTGAAGTGTTTTGTTGGGGTTTTGTGTGATAGGACAACACAAAGTGGAACATAATTGTTAAGTGTAAGGAGAAATATACATAATCCATTTAACTTTAGTCACATTGGATGGAAGGTGTACATGTAGTTTCAAGTCTTGCTTCACATTCGACTGCGGCACTGTAACACAAGAAGATGTTTTTATCTGAGCTATATGCTTTGTGTCACTAATGTCTGTCCCAGTCCTAAGACTTTTGCAGCCCTGACCAATTTTCTTTCTAAATTTATTTCATTAATCTTCCAATCAAGTCATTCCCACGTCATGATGCTACCACCGCCATGTTTCACAGTGGGGATGTTGTGTTCAGGGTACGCTGCAGTGTCAGTTTTCTTTCAGACGTAGCATTTTGCTCTGAAATGATTCATTTTTGTCTCATAAGCCTGTCATACTTTTTCAGATTTGTATTTGAGCCATTCCCGACCTAAGAAAAATGCAAATCGTTTAGTTGTGGCTGTAGCTTTGTGATAAGATGTGGAAAAAAATGAAGAACATCTGAACATTTTTCAAGTCTGGCACTTTTTTTTCACAAAAATTTTGAACTGAAACAGGGATCAAAAATCGGAAAAACAAATGACCCATTCTCATTTCTCGAATTTCTCGAATTTCAAAGTAGTCAAAACCGATAGCAGACCCTCAGAAAAAGTTTTAGATGAGAAGATTTTGACACTGGAAACTGTTGAAATACAATAAAGCAATTTCAATTCAGAATCTTTTTTGACGTTGGATTGAAATGTTGGATGCAGTTAAGTTTCCAAAGAGAGTGAATCTTAAATTTTCAGAGCAAAATGTCCTTGTAATTCATTTTGATGCTCTAGCAAGTGTCCAGTGAGTGTGGAAGCCCCCCTACAGTGACAAAAACAAGTGTTTACAGAACGCCAGTCACATTGTGCAATCTGTTTGAATGTGATGGAATCTCCCACTTGTTTCAGGCATCCTCTCTCCTTCCTTGTGTGTCTCTCTCTCTCTCTCTCTCTCGCTCTCTTTTTTTTTGTGCTGCTAATCAGCATTTGAAAGGCAGCTTTGACAGTGAGAAAGAAACTGAGAAAGGGGAAAAGAAGAGGGGGGGGGAGCTTGTGGAGGTGGGGGTAAACGAAAGCATGAGACACAGCGAGTTAGGGAGGGAGAGTCAGAGGGAAGCCGAGGCGAGGGGCTGTACAAGCATGCCTTTTATATTTACTAGTGACTGAGAGGGAGGGAGGCAGGGAGCAGCTGAAGGCAGAGACAACTGGTGTGCACGGCTTTCCCAAGAGGAAATGAAAAGAAAGAAGCTCAGCGAGGAGAGTGAATGAGTGAGCGGCAGAGAGGAAGGGTGGGAGGGAGCGCGCCGGCTGGAAGAAGGGAGGGTGGGAGGGAGTTAGACAGAGAGAAAGAGATTCTCACACTGGCTGTGTCCTAATCCGAGTCCATCTCCAAGACGCAGCGGAGCAGAGTGTTAGTGAAGTGATTCCGAGAGCCGGGGAGAGCCGCATCAGACACACACACACGCACACACACACACGCACGCATCCACACAGTCTCCGCTGTCACAGGCACACACTCTTGCAACAGGATGCGTCCGGCTGCGCGGCCACGGCTTTTGTGAAAGTGAGGGGATTGGCGGTGCCCACCCCTTCCTGACTGTCCCAGCCGGCCCCCCCTTTTGGCTCACACACACCGCGTCTGTTTGCTGTGTCTAAGCTCGGGGCGCCGCTGCTGCTTCTGCTGCCGGAGGAGGAGGTGGAGGAGGTGGCGGTGTCGGAGGTGGGGTGGGCACTGCCAGGGCAGAGAAGGGGGCACCTTAGAGGAGAGGAGGAGGGGAAGGAGGAGGAGAAAGAGGAAGACAACAAAGTGGATCAGATCAACCGCACGCGGACTGGAAATGCCCGTCAGGTGAGTAGATAATGGATCTAACAACTTACAGTCCACACACACACACGCACACACACACACACGCATGCAGGCGTGCGGCTGTGCGCACACCGTTGCCGGATGCGCGCAGTTGGACACACTTGCAAAGTTATTCTCATCCTTAAACTTTCAGTTTCAGTCAGAAATGTGTTTCGATCTATTGATTTGTTGTTCAATGCAAGTAGACTGAGGCTCATGAAAACTTTCAGGCATCAACAAACTTCTTTTTTTTATTCTCAAATGAGAAAAACTTGTGAGCACAGAACTTTTTTTAATGGATTTTTATGAATAAATTGTAGAAATTTCAACAACTATGACCTTCATGTTAAAAAGTTTGATGTTCTTTCCATATAACTGAGTGAGAGGATGGGGCTCATTGGGCACACATGTAATCAGAAAAAGGCTTAAAGTAATAAATTAACATGAATGCATCATTTGATGAAATTTAACCAAACTGTTGTCCCTTGGAGGCACAACATCCATTTTTCTTTTCTTCACTCTCTATTTTAATTTATTTTTTATTTTTTCACATGAACTTCTTTGTGCGTTTCATCAGTTTAAACGAGCACACCAAATTCATTGCTGTTCAGATAAGCCAAATAATCGTGTGCGTTTATGTTCGGCGTGCTTGTTTGAATGCGTCTGCTGTTTGGAGATAGGAAGGCTGAGAGTGAACGGCATGTGTGCCCGTCTCCACCTGCAGAGGCTGAATTGGTCACAGCTTACTGGCTCGGTAGCATTCGCTGCCTTCAGGGTGTTTTGCAGCAGGTGGTCCAAATTGGCAGAATGACTGTGACAAACAGGCAGCATTTCACTGCTGCTGTAAAGTAAATAAGAGCATCAAGCCATCACATAGAAAACCCATGTTTTCATTTCCCCCACCCACCTCTCTCTATGCCTTTTTTTTAAATATTATTTCTCTTTGATAAGTGAAGCAAAAGTCAAACTCGATTACATTTTGGTAACGTTTCCAATTCGATCCTGTTTAAACCTATGCGTCGATCTAAATGTAAATATGTGCACGCCCATCCGAAAATTAATGTTGTGGGTTTTGTGTAAATTGTGCTCTATTTCAAGCACCGCCGACAAGTTCATTTGCATCCACACCTGCTGAGGATGCAGGTGCCTTGCAGATCCATTCCCCCCACAACATAAACTCGCTCAGACGTATGTGGATGAGGTGTCAAAAAAAGTGTTTGGGGAAATAAAAAGGCATTTCAGGACAAGTTTCCTTTTATTTTATTTTTATTTTTGCGGTGCCTGACCTCGTCGTAGAAATATGTACTTTAAGATTCATTACACCGTGAATGTTTCCACTTTAAGGATTGTAATTGCTTGAGCACAGATTGGCTTCAAAAGGAGCCAGAGTCCAAAGCGAATCATTGCATGGTACGCTTTATACCCCAGCCTCCTGAGCCTCCTGAGCCGCTGAGCCTCTCCATCCGTTTCAGAAACTGCATGTGCAGGATGTTTTGCTTGCGACCTCTCTTTAGGCCCTTTTTATGAGACCCAGACACAAGTTTATTTCCTTAGCTTTTTTTGTATTTAAGGAGGTGCAGGTTTGTGCCAAAGGCAGAAGAAGTGAACTCGGGTTAAGCTCGCGGAAGATAAAATATATCCTGACTACGCATGGAGTATGAGAATCACATGGGATGATGGCCTTGAATAAAAACACAAAAGCCTGACAGTACAAAACTGAAAAAAAACAGGATGTTTGACATGATGTGTTCCTGCTACTTTATTTTTGATCATAGGTATAATAATGATATGCATGACATTATCCAGAGTGATGCATTGTACTCCTTTCGTTTCAATGTCATGACTTGTTTTTGTAAGCAAGAGAAATGTGTAAAAGTAATCTTTTAGCCAGCTGATCGGCAGTGTGCAGCAACAGGTGAAGGAGGGACAGGACTGTTCTCCACCCACTTTTTCTGGAATTCGATTAAAAGGACTTTAACAAGAAAGGGAAGGGGTATGATGGAAGATTGTCGCTGTTTTAGAAAAGTAACTTTTTTTGTTTGAGGTAATTGGTCTTCAACAGTTACCTGCTGCGGCCGTTACGACTTGAAATGGGATTTAGTGCCATTTGTAAGTTTGTTTCTTTCTTTTCTGGCCTAATTTTTCAACTGCTCGCTTTTTGTGACTTATAATCGGCGTCTTCAGCTCGGCAGGTAAACACCCCATCTTCTGCTCGCCTTCTGTTTCTTTTATCTCTTGATATTTTCTCCTCTCTCTGCTGCTCTCTTAGAAACACACACTCTGAGGTGGTCAGTGTGTTGACAGACAGTCGCTCGCACACTTCTTTGCTCTGGCCGTGCAAGAGATTGTGTGTGTGTGTGTGTGTGTGTGTGTGTGTGTGTGTGTGTGTGTGTGTGTGTGTGTGTGTGTGTGTGTGTGTGTGTGTGTGTGTGTGGGTGTGTGTGTGTGTGTGTGTGTGTGTGTGTGTGTGAAGAGCGCTGACAGACAGTGTGTGGGTCTGTGACAGAGGGTGTCAGCGCGGTGTCAGGGAGATGTGTTTAGTGTCACACTCTGCTGACCTGATCTCCGGTTGGACTGTCCACTCCGGCCCCGCTGTGGCTCCTTACATAACCCCCGCTGTCATTCACACAGATGCCTGAAGGGATCTGTGCACGCTCAAACACACGCATGCTTTTGGAGATTACAGGAAATGTAAAGGCATGCAGATTCCCCCTTTTAAGTCCAATATCAGTTTTGCGGCTTGTTTGAGTTTTCAGCATTTCTGGGATTCCGGAGCATAAAGCAGAAATTAAAATATTCAAACAAAGCAACAAGTTTCAAACGCTTTTCTTTCAAAGTCGGTTTTGCTTTCCAGAAGTGAACACCCACACAGCTTGTGCAACTATCATCAGGCTTTCTGACATGTTTACCACACTCATCAGCATGTTCACTTAAGCATGTGTGCTTCTTCACAGTGTGTACTTTTAGTCCTGAGTCAGTGACCCCAGGCCGTTCTTTGGCCTGTGGTTATTTGGAGGTCAGCGCTGATATAGTGAAGTCTTGCAAGAGTGGATTTACAATCTACTGCGCTGGATAGAGGATTGAATCCATTTGGCTGACTCCTTCACATACCAGCAAGGAGACTTTTCTGTCAACTTTCTTATTTTTTTTCCATGTTTGTTTGCTTTTACAGAAGCTCTGAAATGTACTTAACCTCTCATTATTGTCACATGTCATGACATATTTTTATTTTATGGCTGAGTAAGTTCGACCAGACCTCATCATTTTTGTTGCCCAGACAAAAAAAAATGTTTTTGAAAATCAGTTTTCGTTTTTGTTTTTATCAGTCCTATCCAAATGTGTCTCAACAAAGACAATGAACGTCCAACTTTAAGAAACCCATAAAGTCAGCCCTAGCCTCCTTCGATTTACTTGCAGATGTCGGCGGATTTCTTTATCCAGCACTATTTTTGCGTTTCACTTTTACATTGCTTAGGCCTGGGGTAAAATAATTATTCTTATGTCTGGGCAATGAAACATTTGTGGGTTGATGTCATCTTTTACATGTGTTCTCTTTTAACAATGCAGCATTTTCATTAGTAAGCAAAGAGCTCTTAGACGCTACTTGAACTCATGATGAAATATTTAACGGAGCAGCTCTTCATAAGGTTTAACCAGAGTGTGTGCACCTCCTTAAAAAGTCTTAAATTCAAGTATCTAAAATGAAGCCCCTAAAAAAGTTTGCCTTTAATATGTTAATTACACACCTTAAATTTTATCTTGGAAGAACAATTCAGTCTCATATTTTCTATACGTTATTTTTCTTCTTTTTTTTTTTCTTGCAGGGCTTTTTTGTTTGAATAGCACACGCGCATCTTCATTGCTTTTTTTTGACTTGAGGTTACTGGTGACTCATTGCTAAAATACCTTCACTGGCTAGTTAGATTTTTTTTGTGTCTGTAGCAGTTAAGTGCAGATTTATCTCCAGTCGTCTGGATGAAATTTGTACATTTCTGTGGAAATGCAGGTCTTAAATTTCATTCATAATAGTTTCAAAAAGTCTTACATTTGAGTTGGTAAAACCTGCAAAACTCTATCAAAACCTTAATCATTACATATTGACAAACAGCCTAATAAATTGTTTTGTAAGTTGAATGTTGAGAAGTCTTTGCAGCCAGCTGACTGGCAGTGTATGGCATCAGGTGGGGGGAAAAGGCAGGCAGCCACCAAACCACCAAAGAAGACTTTTGTCACTGTTAGTTTCTCTTTAACCCACTGAAAGGACTGTAAACAAACAGCATGACTCGTGAAATGTAGTCATACCATTATTAACCGTGCAACTCTTATTTCCCTCAAACATCCATCGTGAGACAAAGTCCACCCATTTTTAGTCCACTTCTTTTTAAGTTTTGAAAGACGTGAGGGATTTTTTTTTTTTTAGATGACTTAAGACAAAAAAAAAAACTATTCTGCACACTTCTTGTTTCGGCATCGTAGTTTACGTGTGCAGGTACAGCTGGGGATTTCTTGTGTGTGTCCTGGGCTGTAGAGGACGATAATTATGACATTCTGTGTTGCTGCACGCCTGTGAGGAGCGGACATCAAAGCATGCACACCAAAGCTCTCCGTAATAAAAGAAGAGGCGGGAATAGATATTGATTACAGAAGGTGAACATTAGCAAATCCCTTTCTCTCTTCTTATTTGCCAGCGTCCTCATCTGTTCATCATTTCCTTTCCTGTGTTTCTCTTTTCTCCTTATGCTTCCCCCCGTCCCCTGTGTGCTCTCCGTCCGCCCCTCTACCCCTCTTTAATCATTTATTTATTTGCTGATCTCTTTATTCTGCGCTCCTTCAGTTTTAGGGATGCGGCTCCCTGTGCTGGCTGATATCATCGTTCCTTCACGCCCAGCCCAGAGCAGCTCCTCCTTTGCTCATCACTGCAGAGATACCTGGGGGCGGGCGGGGTCACGCTGGTCAAATCTAACGGCGTATTGATTCCATTAGATAATTAATGACCCAAGCAA